GGAAATTTGCCACACACACGCGCGTGCAGCGCGCATGCCTGAGCTAAACTGCTAGCGAGGAAAGTTGGGGGCAGGACTGTGGAGAAAGTAGCAAATCAAGCGCTGGCCTGGAGTAGGACGTAAGATGCAACGACGATGACGACGGCAGTTCGACCGTCTTGCCCGACGATGACCACCGTGGATTAGTTAATAGTGATAGTAGACCTGCACAGCATCTACCGCACTCTCTCCTCCTCCCAACTTGGGCCCGATGTCAAGACGGAGACAAGAGGACCGGAGACGGGGGAGAACGCAGGTGGATGGCGCGGTCGAGCCCACGCCTTGGCGTTCCACTCCACACCCCCAATGGTCCATACAGCAAGTGATCGGGATTTCAACCAACAACAACAACAACATCACAAATGCGTGTCAGAAGGAGGAGGAGGACGACTGGGCAGCCATGTTCACGACCTGTATGCCCAGCGGGAGTGCAAGCGCATCTACCGGCAGGGAGCCAGGTGCCAGAGAACTTCCAGCGAGCACGAGGCCCCAAGGGCCATGGTTTGCGGAATGGTGGCATAGCAGACGTTAACAGACTTTTAAGTCCAAAAGGGTAGCGCGCAGCCTCGCATTTGCCTTGGCCACCACTAGTGAAAGGCTAGCGTAGAACACGTGGGCGATCAGATTACTCGCAAGGGGTAGGGGGAGTCAAAGGAGGAAAAGGGTGAGAGACATGTTACTCTACAAAGGACCTGCAGAGTCGCCATCGCCCGTAGAAGTGGATCTTGTGGCATCTAAGCTACAAGCGTGCTCCGATCGGCATACAGTAGATCAGCTAACACACCAAATGTCAACCGAAATTGCGAAATGCGTTTTCGTTTCGAAAAATTAATTAAGGTTGTAAAATTAATCATTATGCCGCACAATTCTACAATAATTCAGTTACTGCAGGATGTCGATTTTCGAACGAACTTCCTTCCGGCTGCATGAAAAAACGACACTCTGTAGAAAACGACTACTTAAGTAGCATGAATTTTTCTCATCGGTTTTCGATGCCCATAAACATTCAATTATATTTCATGGAAAGTTTGCATTAAAATATTTATTATTTTGTTCATTTTGTAGACAATTGCGTCTTATTCTAATATTATACTCGAGGAGGGACATAATGCGGTTTTAAAAAAGTTTCTAATTGTGGGACTTTTAAATACCGTGAAATGGCCGCTCATAAATCGACTTG